TTGATAGAGACTTGGCGTGACAGGTTGCGGTTTAGTGTAGGCAAATCAATCAATGCGGGTTTGATAGTCTGCAGTTTGATAGTTTGATAATTGCGGGTAGTCAGATGTCACTCAGTCCAAAGTACTCACCATGACGGACAAGGTCCTGTGTTGTCATGCCAGATGTGCACGGCGTACAAGGATCCCAGGTGGCGACTTGTCGGCAAGATGAAAGTGTCTACTCCTCCCTCCTTGAGAATCGTGCGATCACGGTCCTCCAGTTCATGTGGGCCAGACGTGCCCCCCTCTCCCATCAGCGTCAAAAAGACCTATTGTGAGATATTTTGGTAGTGTTTGAATGCCAAATGTACGGGGCGTATATGAGATATGTTGGTAGTACTAGTGCTTTAATACCAAATGTATTTGGAATATTTTTGGCAGTGGTTGATGCCAAATGTTCGGAGCGCATATGAGATGTTTGAATTGGTGGTGCAAGTTATATCCTTTCAAAAGATACCACTTCGCTATATCTATAGTGTAGTGTAGTATAGAAATAGCTATAAATGTAAAAATGTTCTAGTGAAGAAAGGCGAATGAAACTTACCCTGGCAGATGTGGATGACTCGGATCTCGATCCCGTCAGAACTGTGATCTGGTAGAAGTGATCGTGAAAACGTCCCTGATCTCCGCGAAGGATCGTTGCCCCGATCTGGGAAACCATAGCAGGGGGACATAACTATGGTTACATGCTGTGGTGTTACATGCATCAGGCATGGAACAAGAAAGAAAACTTTATTCCCCGTAATTCGTAAGGAACTGTATACAATTCAAACAATTCCATAACTCATAGCCAGGTGTGGGAAAATTGTACGTAAATTCCTTCCTGTATTTGATAATGAAAATCGCTGTCGGGTCCCCACATCAATTTTCAAAAAAGTATGCAGTGCTGTACTGTCTGTAAAGAATCAAGATTTATGCTATGATTTAAATTATTTAACTAAGCACTGATGATGATGATGATGATGATGATGAAGCAACGATCTGTTAAGCGACGGTCACAACCCGCCATACGTGCTTCTGCGTGCTGTCTACGTGCAAAAACGTGGGCAAACGCAGGTCATCCGTGCGTGGTGAGTACTGCCTCCGTGCGGAATCCTACAGATTTGGGAGCACGCAGACACGCCGTAGAACGTTAAGTGCATGTAAAACTTTTTCTACGTGCGGTCTGCAGATTCACCACCCGTGCGTGCGAGTACGAGCAACGCGCGTGCCCCGTACGTGCCGTGCGGAAGAAGCACGTGTGAGTACGGCCTCCTTGCGGTAAAGTTGCAATTGTACGGAGATCGTACGTTGTAAGCACGTACAACTCACTTACTTGCGCAACGTACGATGCACGCAACCGCTCACGGCCAGACTTGGCGTCAAGACCACACTCTTACACTTTGTCCAACCGTGCGAGTGACGTGCGAGTGACGTGCGTAGACGCCACTCCTTCCCCACGTTTTCAGAAAAAAACGTAGCAGACGTAGCCTCCCAAAAAACGTACGGACAAAAAGCACGCACGGCGGGTTGTGACCGTCGCTTAAGAAAAACTTGAGCGCTGCGCTATCGTGGATCACATACCTTCTTTGAATCTTGTCTGTCTTTGCGCCGGGCCCAGATCACCACGAGGATGTAGATCCCGAACAGAACGCTGACCGCGATGATGACAACTGGGTTCTCCGCTGGGTTCACTAATGAAGGAATGTTATATTGCTGTCAGGAAAAAATTCTAGTTACGAAATGACATGAATACAGATATTACAAAAGGCCTTGGCTTCTTTCAGTTCCTCAATCCTGAGATATCTGATGTCCGTACGTGTAATATGAATGAATGAGCTTGAATGAGGTGTTAGTATGTCAGATAGTGCTAAATGAGGTGTTAGTATGTCAGATAATGCTAAACTGCACTTTATTCTTAGAGGCTCCTCAATGTTACCCTCTATGTACAACTTTAAAACGATGCAACTCACTCAGGTTTACATTGGAGATACCAAGCGCTTCTAGCTCTGCTTGACTGTTTCTAACAGTCAATTAGATATAGAAGTCCAAATACTACGTAAGTGTTAATGGGCCTAAATTCTCCTCCTAGCTCTGATTGGCGGATGTTTTTCCGCCAATGAGATATAGGAGGTTACCATGTAATCTTATCTTTCAAATAGCTCTGTTAGCATTTAATTTAATATTTTAATGTCTTGGGGTGGTGGGACTACGGCGCACCTGTCAACTTTGTATATTTAAACGTTAATTGTACCTTTTTCGTGTGTGGCGCTGTTAATATAAGTTGTTAACTTGAGTGCAGCGTCACACTGTCATTGTTATGTCTTTATGTTTTGATGAATAAAAAAAATGAGGTGTTTGCCTTTTACTACATATTTGTTATACCTTGTATGGCGATCATTGAGTGTTTGGGGGATTGCATTAGATGTGTGTTGCTTGATCTTACGATTTCGAAGCGTCTCGAGGATGTTGAGTTTGTTCGGTGCAATGAAGAATGTAAAGCCGGACCCAAACGCTGTCAGATGGTCGCACCGGCAGTGGGACAAAGCGGCGCTGCTGAGAGGACCGGGCTGTACATGGGCAAGGAAGCAGAATGAAAGCAAACACAACCTCTATGCTACGTTTCATCACCAAATGTTGTTTTTATATTCTGTTGACATGATACAGACTGTCTACCTAATTGCTTATTTCATCATTGCAATATGATGGTTTTGATTAGGGTTTTCAGGAGAACACAAACCTGACAACCGTCTGACTCGAAATCTTCGCTTTCCTCGTTGAAGTAGAGACATTGTGTGGAGAAGATCTGAAGTGTGTAGTTCAGAGTGAAGTTCTTTCCCCGATACTCAGGAGAAACCGAGGGGCTTACATCGCCTTGTTCAGTTTGCGGTACGTGCTCCACCCCTGAATTGTGTTGAAAAGCATGTCTTAGAGAGTTTGCTCAGTGCAAAGCCACACATGCCAGTGCCAGGCACTGAACTAGCGCTCACTGCAGTATTTCTCCTCCATAGGCAAGCTTGACTTACTGACTCAATAGGGCAAGAACGGGTTACAAAGGCAGCTCGAGAAATTCTTTAAGTGTCTTTCTCATGGGCACAAGATTGATGGCAGGATTCGAACCTGGGACCTCAAGGCTCGTTTCTGAGCCCAATACTCTGGTGCTTACGACTCCACTTTTGTTGTGAAATATTTAAACTTTGCAACGAGGCTTTGATACATACATGGTATGCATGTGAACAAGAACTAGAATCTTATTCATACAATTTTACACAAAATCCATTTTTATAGCTATGTATAATTTTGAATGGTGCGTGCGTTAATACCTAGGTAGTGCATGTGCTCCACTGGATCCGTAGGGTCTACGTCACTTCCGGGTATGAACCACGTCCACCGGTCAGCTGTCATGGTTTCAGTCGGGCCCAATGACAGGGTGAACAGGTCGGCATCATCTGAATGTTAGTACACAAACATCACATTCCTTTAAGTATTTGTATGCAAAGAAGTCTGTCAAAGTCGTCCATGTGCGGTCCTGGCGTGTTTTTTTTCGCTCACAACAGCGATTTTTATTCTTAGAAGTAACCAGATACAGTACATGCAATACAGTTAGTACAATTTGATAGCTTGAAACAATGTTTAGAGTTAGATATTCAAAGGTTATTAGGTGTAAAAAGTCGTCCGGTGTAATACAGCTAGCTGCCGCCGCGTCGCGTGCCTGCGAAGCTGGTGTGTTACGCCGTCTATACAGATACAAACCTGGCAGTGGTAATGTTGTGTTCCTGTCGAACTCGTCAATCCGGCGTGGTTCGTCCCCTCGCTTCAAGTACAGTCGGACAGACACATTCGCCAGATGAGGCGTCACGGTGAGGTACAGGGACCTCCCCTCAGTCATGTTGAACTGGTGAGTCTGTAAAATTACAAGCATCATTTACCGACCGACAATGCAACCGTGAGGATGTATATATGGGTCTACTGAATGGGTCACTGAAAAAAAGAGAACTGCGAAATTCAGGGCTATGTACTAGTAATAATAGCCCTTTAGGGACAAAACGGACAATCGGAATGATACGTTAAATGAGTCTAGCAAGGATGAGTCCAATCGCTTGTACGTCGAACGTGGCTTTTTTGTCAAGGTAGAACAAATACGGTATGGTGAAACAGTACTGACCAGAAATCTGTACGAGGTAACAATTCTAGGAAAAGAAGATCGCATAGTTACACTTATATTTGCGCTCCCAGATGGTGCCGTCGTCCCTAGCTCGGTCATTGTTCGTCCATTCTGGGATGACTCCGACAAGCGTCGTGTAAAAAACCTCCACAGGATCTGTTAAGTCGCG